CACAGTATGGTGCTTCCTTAGCTTATCCAGGGATAAAGAACTCAAGGAAATAACATTGTAGCAAAACAGTGCAACAAGCACCAAAAATAAAGGTTGAAACTTGAGAGCACTCATAATTTTATTGCATGATAGAAGAAAGAAATGTGCCTTCCTGCAGAGGTTCTAGACTGATGGCTCTGAATCCCAGAAGCTGAAATTTCCCTTACCACCAGTATGGAGTAATGAGTTCTTGAGAGCAGAATAATGTTAAGGTAAGAAATAAGCAGTAGGACTGACCGCAAAATCTGCGGGAGTTCAAATATCTTTATGATAGTGACTCGTAAATACAAATGTAAGCACCCTCTGTGCACCAGTCTGAGTGCCAACATTTCTCTTTCCCTGACTTAGGAACCAGGCAAAGGCTAGGTAGGGAAATTTCCTTTTCCAGGTAACAGCAGGCACAAAACTTGGAGCCACATAAATAACAGCCTTTTCCTTATGAGATATCAAGAAGAGAAATTGAAGCTCTGCATTTAAAAGGAGGCTAGAAAAGCCTCCTTAAAATCAGAGTTAGACCCTGCGGTGATATAAAATAAGTCTAATTATGAGTCCCGGATTAGAAGCTGTTTGTTGGTTGGACCTCTTCCATAATTTTGGAAATTTTAGAGACCCAGGCACTTCTGAGCACAAGCCAGATACGAAGATTACATTTGGTTCCTGCAACTCTTCAGGATCAAAGGAAGGGGTGGGAGGAGAAGGCACAGAACAGAAGAAATGATGGCCATTGAACTGAAAAAGCATCAGCTGCCTTTGCTTTGGGATCCAGGTATGTTTACTACTGTATATGTGGGTTTTATGTTGTGGTTGTCCTTGAAAGCAAACAAACAGTAGACTCCATTTGTGCTAGTACATTGAATACCTGAAAATATAGGGGCTACTTGCTAGATCAGTTTTCTGATCTTTGGAAGTAATCCACTGAAAGGCTTTTGCTGAATTTCATACACATTTCCTATATCGTATGCTGGGTGCTATCAGAATAGTGGGTGTTAGCAGATTTATTTTTCTTTGATTTTGCTTCCCTCTTGGATTGTACAGCTGCTTTCCACACAGTAGAGGTCTTCACTGAGGTTCTGGATGTACGGGAAGAATTGAGTTCCACAACTCATACCTTTGCTCTCTGGTAAAGGACTCAAGCAATGTGAATGGACCTGCCTTTTGATGCAACCTCAGAGGGAAGTTCTAAGTAATTGTTTTTCGGCCCAGTGGGCATTCACATTACTCCTCCTGCTCAATGTGTAAATGGAGGGTTAGTGAAGGGGCACGTGTTGAAGTGTTTCCAATATGCTGATGACATACAGCTTTATCCTTTTGTCCAAGCCATAGAATGCAGTTGAGCATCTGCCACAGTGCCTAGTAGCAACTGGGGCATAGATAGCTTTGACCTCTAAAACCCTGTATGGTGTGGAACCTGTCTCCCTGAAAGACACTTTCCTTCACCATGTGATATGGTCAAAGCTGAACTCATTGGAGGCACTAGAATTTGGAAGTCCCTTGGTATATAAGAGAAGGAGCAGCTAGTAGGACATTCTCCAGGAGGACCTCTGAACACCGAGCACAATGGGACCTTGATCTTTAACAGGGGTTCCTTGGTGCCACTGTGATAGGAAAAAAGTGATGATAGTCTATCTATTTGGGCAGGTGTTGAGGGAAGGTTTAGATTTTGGAGGCTCAGGCTGAAGTGTGGATTTTTCTGAGGGAGGATGAAGGTTTTGTGCAGAGATGTCTCTGATTTGTTACTGCAGTTTTTGTCTTGCACTGTACTTTTAATGATCTGTCTGGGCTATGTGGCCATTTTTATGTTTACATGTTGAAAATGAAATAAATAAAAATAAATTTTGTTTCAGATATAAAGGGACCTAATCACACTTCTCTCTGAAAACTTGTTGCCTACTGTAGTTATTAATACCTGAGATTACAGAAACTGATAATATTTTATACTCATTCGCTCTGTTTCATTCAGTTTGCTTACCTTATGGATTTGATAGAGAAACTAAACAAAGAGCACTGTTTCCCTTGGATAGTCAGTGAGTACCTCAGTTTCCCCTGTTTGTGGTGGGTTCTTTCACACAGCAACAGGCAAGGAAAATATTACTACTCTTTTTGATGCAAGCAGTTAGCAAATATTCGGGATCTTGTAGGTTGCTTCTGTTAGGAGGAGAAATTGGTGATGGAGTCAGGTATATCTTTGATACAATCCTATTTATTTACAGCAAATGTATATAAATCTTGTTTCCCAAAACACAGCAAGACTCAAACAGCAGAAGAAAGTGTCTTAGCTCACATTCCAAGCCTCCTTCCAGCCATGACTCTACCCAAAAGCTAGCTAGCTAGCGCACGCGCTCTCTCTCGAGTGTGTGTGTGTGTGTGTGTGTGTGTGTGTGCATTTTTTCCAGACCATGCTACAAGGGCTTCACTGGCTGTGTCTGAGGTTTCCTTGGTGTTTTTTCTGTAGTGTGTCTCCTACTTCTCTCTCACACACAGCTGCAATCAAATAATTCCCCCACTTCTGCATTTGTTATCAGACCCCCCAGTAACCCCTTCAACTGCATGGCCCAGCCACTGTACAGGTTTGAATGTGATCTAGTCCTCGAGTGCTGGTTTTTCATTGTTTCAGCTATCACGAAACAAAGGGACATTTAATTGTTCCCTTGCTTAGCCTAAATGGAAAGTTCCTGTCACATGCAACAGCTTCAACTAATTAGTGTGATTGTCCAACCCCTATTTTTAAAAATAGAAAAATGTGATGGTGAAACAATTAATATTGGCAAGGAGACAGAGTAGGCAGCGTAGCTGAAACTACTTGAAACTCCATTTGAGGAGACTGACTAGAAGTCAAGTTGATCATGCCCCTTTCAGTAATTCAGAAATCACATTTTCTAAAAGACAGAGAGTCCCATACAAGCTGTACCCTGCACTTGGACCTGCCCAGGTTCAGGAAGCTGCACTAAGTCCCTATCTTCTGGGATATCCTAGAAAGCAAACATACTAATTCTGCCAGATAGACAATATTTCAATTCTCTAGTTGGTCCAACTTTGTTTATGAATAAAGTTTTATTTGTACAGTTCATTGTTCCATTTCAGTCTCTCAATTCCAAACATTTTACTTGGCCACACCTGTTACACAAGTACCCATTTAATCTAAAGCGTTGTAGACTTTTTCTCTTCTCTGAGCCTCATGAGTTTCTATAGAAAGTGTTTGTTTTACTGAGGAGAGTCACTGCAAGGTATGTCAAGGGGTGTTGGGAATGAGTGAAAAGATGTGATATATGCTCTTTTTGGCTCTCTGCATCACATAGCTGAAGAGTTACTGCTTTGTGATTTGTTTTTGGCTTTGGGCCTGGGTATTCTTTTAAAAGAATTGTCATTGATGCCCGCCCTCAGACCAGTTAGCTCAAGACTGCTTGCTATCCATAGTTACAAGCGGGCACAATGTTTCAAGTGCTTTAGCACAGAGGGCCAGGGGTCACCACATCAGCTCTTTCACTGTAGCTCTGCCCTCCTCTTCCTTCAATACAAAATATTTTATCACTTTCTTTCAGATTTTAGCTTCACTGCTGTCTGAATTGTTGGTTATAATAATTAATAATCTCACAAATAAAATTCAGCCAGTCTATGGTGGAGCCAGCATTGCACTCTGCTCCTATCTGTCTGTACTGATGGAACTTCTGAGACACGTTTCACGATGTCCATTGGCATCAGTTCACACATCAGCAGGAAGCTTCCATGTGAGGAGAAACTGAGAGAGACACTTCCTGGTCAGAGAATTGCAGAGCTTTTATGCGGAGTGCTTGAGTAGCCAGAATTTTTGCTGAATACAAAAGTAATTTTTTTCTTTTGATTTTTATCTTTGAATACTTGACTACATGGATAACTTAATACTCATAGTTCTCTAATGCTATCAAGTTTTGAGCCTGGATTATCTTCTAAATTGATCTAAACTGTTACACAGTTTTAAAGAAATAAAGCAAGCAGATGCTTATAAGCCTATTAAGTCTGAGGTTTCTCCAGTGTGCTTGTGGCATCTGCGCAACCTGTGTACACTCCAGTGTCACTTTCTCAGCTGTTCTGTCACAGGGAATCAAATAGCAGCTGTCTAATACCACAGTCTCTCTGTGCTTGCTCTGCGTTTCTAGCAGTAGAATTAATGTACTGACCTGTGCCACAATTTAAAACTGTCTGTGATTTCCCTGCATTGAATAAAAGCTAATGTGCAGTGCAGCATTTTAATGAGTTGGGAAGTGTGCCTCTTACAAGCATATTACTAAAGAGGGATTACTTAAGATTAAACAGAATATAGGAACAATTTGCTATGAAGTGGAGTACTGAATAAAAAATCCCAACAATACTAAGTGATAAAATGTCTTTCAAAAGCCTACACAGGATATTTGGATTCCTTTCTTAGTTAATAGGGTTGCTATACATTTTAATGTTTTCAGTAAGAAATCCATTGTCTGGTTCCATTCACAGGGTTTTCTTATATATGTCCTACTGTGTATGTATGTGTGTGTGTGTGTGTGTATATATATATATATATATATATATATATATAAATAGTGCTTTATAATGTACACTGACTCGGAGAAAAAATTATATTAAATTTGTGTAGCTCATTAATAACTAATAAATGGGGAGAATAACAAGAAGTTGTACAAGTTGAATATTTAGATCAGCTATTTGCTTGTTTTAAAGCCTTATAATATTTGTATCTATCTGTACAGCATTAGTTTTGAAACTGATTCCAGGTATTTTGATTTGTCTTTTTTCCATTTGCTTATCCAGAGTCAGATGATGTTCACAGAGGCAGCCCTTTACACTTCAGATAATGACAAAAAAGAACAGGCAGCTTAATGCTTCCAAACTAGGGGTGTGTCAAATCTCTCTCTCTCTCTCTCTCGTTCTCTCAAGAATGATAAACTCAATGGGGTTGTCTATTTTTAACTCCTGTTCTTTCCTTTTGGCAGAGTAATCAGTGTTAGCTGAGCTCTTTTGCTGAATGAATCCAAGTAACCCTGTTTGTTGCCTTCTGAAATGACCAGCGCACAGAAGTGTATTGAGGCTGTGGTAATGTATGAAGTCCAATTCTGAAACACCATGTCAAATGAAGGCAGCTCTGGTGAGCACCTTTCTACAACAACAGTCAGTTCAGTTGCTGTTCAGGCTGGAGATTCCAGGATTGTTATCGCTATACTTAAGGTAAGACAACATTTGCTAACAGTTATGCTCTTAGCTCTGTGGCTTGGTCTGCATAGTATTTAGTAACAGTCTATTCCAAATTCTACTCATATTAGCATCTATTCAGCATAAAATGTCGACCAGGCAAGTACATTTATTTTATTGCTTAAGTTAGTATGTAGAAAACCGTCTAAGAAGTTCATGCTACTTATAGTATATCACTTTTTTCTTTTTTTACATGAACCAAAACTATTCAGCTAAACTATGTAAGTTCTTAGGGGTCAAGAATATGTCTGAGTCTAAAACGTGGCAGTGTAAATTTAGGGCGCTGTAAAAATGTTGATCATAATACATGTGAACATCTCTTTGGGGAGTTTAGTCCTTTTTTTATTTTTTTTTTTTTTTAAATAAATGTATTTATCCACTCTGTTCACTGTACCATTTTCATTCGTGACAAATGCACAAAGAACCATTTCAGTTAGCCACATCTTGTTCAGAGTGTTAGCTGAAAAAAATACCAATTAAAATTGTAGTCATACTTTAAAAACCAAAAGTTAGTTGCCTTTGTCTTATATTTTTAGTAGTAGCTCTTGTGTATGTCCTGGTGTTTATAAAGACCTGAAGGACCATTTCAGCAACTAGTTCCAGATCACGCAACCTGCATGCAGTTTGGGATGCTAAATTAAGCTGGGGTTTTCAAAGCTGCCTAAGGGAGTTAGACACCAGCCACCAATTGGAATGCAATGGAAGTTGGGCACCTCACTCCCTTAGATACCTCTAATCTCTCAGGCTGGGATTTTTTTAGCATTTGATAACTTTAAAGCAGATTAAAGATAGTGACTGTGTGTGTACTGACATCAGTAGGGGTCAGATTTTGCATTTAGAACAGCGGAGGGCTTTTTCCTCTCAGGAAAAAATTTTCCCTCCTCCTTAGCAGATGTAGAAAGACCCATCTGCAGCAGAAGTGTTGCAAGGAAGGGCAGGACTTTGGAGAGGCCACATACTGCCCCCCTGTGCACCATAGAACATCTAGTCATGAGTGGCTCTGCAGTTTAGTGGGGATTTGGAAGTGCTGGTGGGAACAAGCTAGTGGGTTTGCTACTGTGCTAATCCACATGGCATTTCTCCCAGCATAGAGATGAAGGCACAGGTGCCTTGGAGTCTACTCCAACCCTGAGGCTGAAGTAGCTGTTATACAGTGGCAGCCCAGCCTGTTGTTCAAGATTCCTGGCTCCTCGTTGTGGAGGCTCACTCCAATACGTAGCCTGGCTCATGAGCTATCTGCTGCAGACATGATTGTGGGTTAAGTGCTTAGTAACATTATATATTTATATCAGATGCGTTAAACAAATCTTGAACAAATGAATGTTGCTAGTATCTTCATATAGGGTTGGAAATCTCTCAATTCAGTAAGAAACAAAATGAGCCATACTTGCAGGATTGGGCCCATCACTTTCTAATGTTTATGTTCCTTTCCTCATTTTCTCCCCCAGCTATGTAAAGGCCTTTTGGTTGTTCCTTTATAAAAAAATCAACCATTTGTTAGAGAAAATGCTGTGATGGATTACTTGGCACTAGCAGAACTCTGGGTGCTGAGGACAGCTGGGTTATGTAAAAATGACAGCCCTCATGTCTGCCTTAATTTGTTTCTGCTGTGAGAGGAATAGGAAATCAGTTCACCATGACCCTTAGCTGAGAGAGATCTATGCAAACTGCAGCTAAAAATAAGTTCTCAATTCCCAGGACAGAGAAGGGAAAAATGTTATTTTTAGTCCCTGGTATGATTTTCTTTCCTTTTTAAATACCATCTCGACGACTGTATGGGTAGAGATTGGACAAAGCAAGAATTTGGGGCCTGGGTATGTTGCCTCAAATGACACTTGATTTACTATTTTTTATGGCATCCCATTATTGAAGTTTGTATTCACTGGATTTTGTATACTTTGGGGCCTGATTGTGCAATTGGATACATGTAAGTGGATCCCTGTGCCCATTGGATACAGGGGTCTGCCTGCAAAGATTCATTTGGGCCTTAACTGGTATGTTTTGGGGTAGGGGATTTAAAGAGCCCTTGTGTTTTCTGGATGACACACACTGGGTGTTTGCCTGTGTTTGCATTTTAGTGTGGGAAATGGGTGCAGCTTCAGCTGACTGAGTCAATTCCAAATGTATTAGAAATTGGCAGCAATCAAGATGAGACCAAAAAACTACTACAAGATCATGAACTCCTCCTGGCTAAACTTAAGGTAAGGTGTGTGATACGGACTCATGCAGATTTTTCTGGTCTCCTTACAGCTCTGATATAGACAATGAGCCTCTAGGTTCACAGGCCTGTTGTTGTGATCTGTTTGTCAGCAAAAGGCCAGAGTGAAAAAACATATCCAACCTTTGTTGTTGTAATGAATGAAAATAAGACAGACACACACACCCCTCCAATAGTTCTGCAATGGAAAACTAAGTTCACTAGTAATTGTTTTTCTGGCAGAACCAGTAAAAATATCATATTTTCCAACTTTATGCATTATTGTCAAATAAAATAAAAACTAGCAGTACCTGCTAGAGACAGAGGAATTTCAAGGTTTTCATTTGTTTTGCTGGGCTGTGAGACATTAGAATGGTTCATAACTATGGTAACAACTACAAAAACAATCAAGTGTTTTGTAAATGTGAAATTAACATTCCAGTCACTTTTTTACTGTTATGATTGATGTATGTTAAGGGTAGGAATAAGGTGATAACATTCAGCAAGTGATTGGCTTGAGGTGGGAAGATAACAGTTAAATCATAGAGCTATAACCAGTGTTAGGAAATAAAGGGCATTCTTAGGAGCAGAATATGATTCAGGGACATTTCAGAGACAAGAAGGTAGTACAGTAACATACTGTCACATTAAATTATTCCTATTTTGCTGACATGAGACAGCCTAAAATAAACTGAGATGAGCATTCACTTTCCTGATCTGAAGGGATGGATGCATCTTGCATATAGGCTTAAGTAAATGAATTTCTCTAGATTCTTGTGGGTGCCCAAGACCATTGTACTTTGTCAGGTTCCATTCAAGTTTCTTAATGTTATTATGTATTTTATTAAATTCAGATTTTGTTCATATTTTAAGACAGCGCAAATATGAACTGGAAAAGATGTTTTCTCCTTTTAATATTAGTTTTCAGGTGCTGCACCGCTCATATTAAGGTATGTCTCAACCATATGTGAAGTAATAAAAATAAGGTATATGCAGAATGTAATCTAATATGGTGTATGCAGTGGAATTTGGATATCACAAATGGTAACATTTAAAGAAAAACACGTCAAGGGATTAATCCTGCTTTTCTTGACCATCCAAATGTCATATCACCATTGACTTCAATGGGAGTTTTGGGTATTCAGGAAAATGTAGTTTAGTCCAGTCATCCAACCCAAATATTTAGAAGTAATTAGGAGCTAATATACTGGCATGATAAACTGAATTTCACCCTCCAATAATAAGAATTAATATTAAATCCGAGAAGCAGAAAACATCATAATCCAAAACTCTAGCAAGTGAAAATACAGTTGAAGATTTTAAACCCCATCTGCCAACACAAACCGACCCAATATTACATATATCATATATTAAATATTTTCATTGCTTGGAATGTCCATCCACAAGAGATCTTACGGATTTCACCTGATATTTACAGTGATAAATGTAAGGAATAAAAATGGTCTCTTTGCAGGCAGCAGCATGTACTAAACAAAATCAAGTGCAACAGTCAGTCTCTCTCTCTCTCTCTCTCTCTCTCTCTCTCTTTCTCTCTCTCTCTCACATATATCCTGGAGCATCTTTGCAGACAAGGTCAGCAGCACAATGTCACGCTACATTGCTCTCCATGGCTTGTTCCTCCATTAATCCCAGCATGGTCAGTCCCTGTGTACAGCAAAAATAACTTAAAAAAAAATTCCCTTGGTCCAGTCTCACTGGATTTTCCAACCCAAAATGGATTTTTTTTTAATTTTATGGGCTTTTGACTATAAAATCTCCACAGATACCTCCATTTTTATTGGGCATGGTAAGCAAAATCGAATAATAATCCAAGAGCATCAGCTATTCTGTGATGTTAGCCAAGGTATTTGGCTAGTATTAACTAATATTTCATCCCTCCTACTCTGGGTACATTTGTGTTCCTGGACCCTTTGACTTGTTCTTCATCTGGCTTCACTCAGCTTGCTTAATGCTCATAATAAATAGTCAAATAATAGAAAAGTAATTCAGTACTATTTTCACATTGTAAACACAGTGAGATTACTCATCTCCTATTTGTGGGGAAAATGTTTGCAGATCCCAAAAGTTCACAAATGCTTATACACCTGAAAATTCATATTGTAAGTGAGCAATTTCTTGTTTGCCATTCAATATGCATTATAGTCTCCTATTTAAAAAGTCTGTCATCCAGTCAGGAAGCAGAAACAGTATCATATGACTTAAGTGACCAATCATATACCACTAATAATGAATAGTGAACAGTCAATTGATCCACACACAGTGACTCTTTTTGTGTAAACTCTTGATGAATATTTTGAGTAACAAATATTGTTGCAGAAATCAACATTGAATAGTGAACCATCCACAGGAAAAGGGTAAACTCAAAATAGATATTATTCCCCAGGAATAATTTTGCCAGCTCTAATACATGACCACAAGTGTCATAATTCTGAATGACCCTTCATTCCTTAACAGATGTGTAACTTTCTGCCTGTAGTGAGCTGGTAACACTTATCATGGGTAGATATTTATTTATAAATTACCAGACCATGTCATCAAAGGTTTGTATAAGACAATGATTCTCAACCTTTGAAGTACTGATTACAATAATCTTTGGCACTTATTATTTGTTCATGAATTATACCTTTACTCTGTGAAGATAGATAAAGTCAAAGAGCCAGTAATGTTCCACAGACTTTAACATTTAATTCCAAAAATATAACTTATTTACATGAAGATAAAAAAAGGAAAATTAGAAATGTGGAACTGTAAGGACAGAAATCCAATTGTTAGATTGTACTTGTCTTTGTAAAATCATGTATGCACAGTTCTTAGTTAGTTCTTTGTTCTTTTTCCTCTCAATGATCACAGTTAACACCATCCGTTTTGGTAATGGAGGGTTATGCAAGCGCATTAACACAATAGTATACCCCTGCTCATTTTTTCTTCTTCCAATATAGTGTTTTAGCTGTTCTCTCATGAACTATAAAGCTGACAAACCCATTGGTTGTGTACTTCCTATTGACTCCAATTTGTTGATATAAAGAAAGTTCACTATAGCCCATACTCACATATATTTTTGAAGTTTGATAGATTTTGTAGTCTGGAATGTACTATAAATACACTGAACAAGATAATGGCAAAGCTATGGCCTGATGTGCCCTACAGTTCAAACCATTTGAGCCCTAATCTTGTTTAAATCGTGGCAGCATTCTGCCATTGTATCTCAGATTTTTATTTTTTTAAACTTAATTTTATTTTGTACATAACAGTAGAAATAACATAGACAATAATCTAATAAAAGCACATTAATAGTAAATCAATAATATCCCTAAAATCCATGAAAACACAGGCACTTGAAGGATACATAGCAAAAGTTCTCATAATTCAAAACACTCTGCATTTTATCATATATTATGTTGAGGTTATGTGAGGTTATATCAGGTTCTACAGATGAACTGTTGTTCAAACTGTCAACTTGTAGAAGTTTTTGAAAGTTACAGAGTAGCAAAAGGAAAAAGCGGGAAAACAAACCAAAAAATATTTTACTGCACACAGTAAACAAGAAAAAAGATAAAAAGGGACAAATGAATAGTTAAAATTTTGACTGACTTTTTAAAAAAAATTTTATGAAAAAAAAAATCCTTTCATACTCCATGAAATGAAAATAACTTTGACATTTTGAATTTTTTGTGAAGTTTTTTTCCTGTTTTTGACCAAATCTACTTACATTTTTATGTAACACTGTGAGATTGTTTTGAATTGTCTTTGCATTACATTCTTAAAGAATTTGTTTCACTAGATTTAAGGTTCTAATAGGTCTTTGTTCATGTTAATTATAAATGTGGTTTAATTTGCCATTTTCTCTGTTATTACTGCTGTTCTATTAAATTGGATATTTTAAAACTTTACAATAAAAATCGCACTTCCACATACTAAGCTAAAGGACCTGATCCTACAAACACTTAAACGGGTGCTTCATGAGTAGCAGGGCCGGCTCCAGGGTTTTGGCCGCCCCAAACAGCCAAAAAAAAAAAAGCCGCGATCGCGATCTGCGGCGGCAATTCGGCGGAAGGTCCTTCGCTCCGAGCGGGAGTGAGGGACCGTCCGCCGAATTGCCGCCAAATAGCTGGACCTGCCGCCCCTCTCCTGAGTGGCTGCCCCAAGCACCTGCTTGCCAAGCTGGTGCCTGGAGCCGGTCCTGATGAGTAGTCCCATTGAAATGAAAGTTAAGCGCATGTGTAACTGAGTGCAGGATGGGGCCCAACGCCCCAATCTGGCAAAGATTTAAGCACCTGCTTAATGTTAAGCACCTGAGTCATCCCACCTGTTTAAGTCTTTGCAGGATTGGGATCTAACGATCTGTGCAGTATTTGCAGATAGATTTTTGAATATGGATGTGACCACGCTGGCAAATAAATAGATGGTGTGTTTTTATTTCTAACTGTGCTGAAATCTCAGCCTGAGATTTGAACATCATGCTGTTTGATTTTAGTCTCTTTCTCCTCCCATGATTTGTGCATTGTTAGTCTTAACAAAGATACTGCAAGCTGTATTCTTCCCTCAGTTACATGTGTGGTGGGGTTTCATAGGTGTAACTATGAACAGAATTTGGCATTGCCACTGCAACTCAGTTTACAATACTTTTGATGATGCATGAACAGTTATACAATCCAGTTTGCTGTTCCAGAGACATACTGGCTCTGCAATGCTAACAGGAGTTAAAAAAATAACACCAACCTATTTGTCACTAATGTAAACAGATAAGACTCAAGACACTGAGGAAGCAGATGTCTTGAGCATGAAAGTTTGGATTTTTTTATATATATAGCAACTTTTCTAACTATAACCAGCAGAGTCATTTTTCTAATTATAAATCATACAGTAAAAATAATCATTTGTATATTTTAAAACGTATTAGACAAAAATTATCCAAATATATTTCCTTTGATAGACCATATTGGGCCATATTCACTGTTGGTATAAATTGGCACAGCTCCACTG